CTTGAACCATATGGTAGAAAACTATATGAAGCAAATATTCAAACCAGTTTGTTAAGGATATGTAAGTGAGAACCAAGAGTTATCACTGTTTGGATTTATTGCCCAAAAAGTGCTGCATATTTCATTCCCTCCGTTACCGACATGAGTTTTTAAATTTTTTGTCAACAACTTGAAAGAATATCACAGGTTTAACTTGACCCTGTTGGAGTGTAACTCTTTCCTACATTCTGATACTTTACTTATTTCAATAGTCCCTCTAGTTTCTGAATAAGAGACATTTGAATGTAAAAAATCTGCCCCTGTTTCCCTCCGTTACCGCTTGACCGGACCCCATGGCGATGGTCCCTGGTCACTACAGACAAGTCACGTCGCGTCATTTCACTTCCTGCTCACTAGGAGCATCACTTTACGATACTAATAGGCCCTTCGACAGTAATAATAATATTTTTAGCAAAAACAATATATCCGTTAACATTGGAACAGCATATTATACACTTTTGAAAGCTCTTGACCTTCCCCACGTCACCGGAGGGTCATTGGTGAGTGACGGGAACTGACGTGCTCATCGTTCACCATCTCGGGGTCGCACCCTGACCTCCCATTGGCTTCCATTTATTTTAGCAGTGATAAATATGGCCCAGGACAAAATTTTTCATGTTGAAAATCTGGTCAGCCTAAGTAACAGTAGCAGTACTAGTAAAAGTAGTGGTAGCAGCAGCAGCAGCAGTAGTAGTAGTAGTAGTAGTAGTAGTAGTTCTTGTTGAAGTAGTAACAGTACTTGTAGTCCAGATTTGATCCACAGCAAATGAAAAACTGAAAAAGTAAACTGTCCCTGAGTCATATTTAGCGTAATTGTTTTGGCCTCTAATGGCTGATTTTACAGATTATCAATATTGTTTTCTTGTTTTGATTTAGGTCAGAGGATGAAGTTTTAAAGAGGAGAAAGACGATGTCCAAGCCCTGCGTTTCTGTTCAAAGATAGATTCTCTTTCATAACAAAAACTTCCCCCTCAAACCATTTCTTTCCTTTGGCAAGGATCTGTACCTCACTTCAAAAAACACTGTGATCGGTGCAGTGCAGATTTTAGATGAAGAATATATCCAGGCTTTGTGAGTTCGCATCTTTTCCCAAAACAAAATTATCTCAAACTGCAGCCAATAACCATCGCAGTACCATTCATAGTAATAGCAGTAGTAGTAGTAGTAATAGAAGTAATAGCAGCAGCAGAAGTAGCAGAAGTAGTAGTTGTTGTTGGCTAGATATTTTTAGGAAAAGGGTTTTGTTTATAATTATTTTTATACTTTTTTTTTATTTGATATTATTTTTTGTAAAAGTAAAGTTGTAGTACACCCACAAAGATGTATATGTAGTAGAAGAGGCAGAAACAACAATAAATGCAATACTAGATGTAACAGTTGTACTGATAGTAATAGTAGTAGTAGTATCTATAGTATTTGGTCTATATTATCTCTGTCTCTAAGTAGTAATTGCAGTAGTAGTAATAGTAGTAGTAGGAGCAGCAGTAGTAGTAGCAATAGTAGTATTAGTATCTTTGCTAGTTTATAGTATATTAGTACTATATTACTATCATTATTTACAGTATTTGTTCTGTATTTGTCTAAGTAGTAATTGCAGTAGTAGTAGTAGTATTAGTAGCAGTGACAGTAGTATCACTATCTACAGTATTTGGTCTATATTATCTCCAAAGAATAATTGCAGTAGTAGTAGTATTAGTAGTGGTAGTAGTTTTAGTAGCAGCAGCAGCAGTAGTAGTAGTAGCGGTAGTATAATATCAGTAGTAGTATGTAGTATATTAGTGTCAGTATTTACAGTATTTGTTCTATATTATCTCTACATTATCTTTATTGTCTGAGTAGTAATTGCAGTAGTAGCAGCAGGAGCAGTAGCAGTAGTAGTAGTAGTAGTAGTAGTAGTAGTAGTAGTAGTAGTAGAATCAAAAGCAGTAGTATCACTATTTACAGTATTTGGTGATATTATCTCTGTCTAAGTAGTAATTGCAGCAGTAGTAGTAATAATAGTGGTAGTAGTTTTAGTAGCAGCAGTAGTAGTAGTAGTTGTAGCAATTGTAGTAGTATAGTATCTCTATATTAGTAGTATATTATCTTTATATTATCTTTACTGTCTAAGTAGTAATTGCAGTAGTAGTAGTGGTGGTAGTAGTAGTAGCAGCAGCAGCAGTAGAAGTAAGTCTATATTGCAGCAGTAGTAGTAGTAGTAGCAGTAACAGTGGAAGCAGTATCTATAGTATTTGGTCTAAATTATCTCTGTCTTTAAGTAGTCACTGCAGTAGTAGTAGTAGTAGTGCTAGTACTGTTAGTAGCAGCAGTAGTAGTAGTAATAGCAATAGTAGTATTAGTATCTTTACTAGTTTATAGTATATTAGTAGTATATTACTATCATTATTTACAGTATTTGTTCTGTATTTGTCTAAGTAGTAATTGTAGTAGTATTAGCAGTAGTAGTAGTAGTAGTAGTAGTATTACTATTTACAGTATTTGGTGATATTATCTCTGTCTAAGTAGTAATTGCGGTAGTAGTAGTGGTGGTAGTAGTAGTAGTAATTGAAGTAGTAGTAGCAGCAGCAGCAGTAGAAGTAAGTCGATATTGCAGCAGTAGTAGTAGTAGTAACAGTGGAAGCAGTATCTATAGTATTTGGTCTAAATTATCTCTGTCTTTAAGTAGTAATTGCAGTAGTAGTAGTAGTAGTGCTAGTACTGTTAGTAGCAGCTGTAGTAGTGGCAGTAGTAATATTAGTATCAGTATCTACAGTATTTGGTCTATATTAACTCTTATTGCAGTAGTAGTAGTAATGGTGGTAGTGGTGTTAGTAGTAGCAGCAGCAGTAGTAGTAGTAGTAGTATCAGTATTTACAGTACTTGTTCTCTGTGTAAAAGTCGCGTTTGTGGCGTTTTCCCGCTCGTGTCCGGTTTAATATAATTCAGCCCAACTGGACGTGAGGATCGGACGGTGATGGATGGAGCGACAAACGTCACTAAACAGCTTCATCAATGTCCGCTCAGAGTACACGGTCCCAGGGCTGCTCCATATTCATGCAGTACTTTCAAAAGTACTTTTACCCCCAATGTAACAAGAGAGGTGCAGACGACAACGACGACGACGACGACGACGACGGGAGCCTCAGAGGAACAAAAGTCAATCTGAAAATGTTTCCCACCAATAACACGAGTTTTTCTTTGACCTTTTTCGTTAAATCAAGCCAAACCGACAGATGTGAGTTGAAATCAGGGCCGTCAATGTTTCACGGTGTGGCTTTAAACCTTTATAGCTTCATGGAGACCAAACCAGCCAAAGGTACAGGTCAGATCTGTGGAGAGGCGATCACACTCACAGTCAGAACGTTTGTTTTTCTACGTATTTTTGAGCTATAAAAACCAGCTCCAATTGAATTAATGTAAAGTACAGCCGTTTAAAGTCATACTGTGGAACATTCGTAGCAGAGGAATGACGTATCCATAGAAACAAACATGCGACGGACCCCAGTCAAAAAGTGACACAAAGCATCTTTAAGTATGAATACATAAAAAGTAAAAATTTGAGACTGAATTACTGGATTATTTAAATTAAATAAACATAAATAAAAAGTAGAGTTGCTTCCGAACGTATCTTATCTATTCCTCCACGGATCCGTTTTTGGAGACCCGCACCTGCGCAGTACAGCAGCGCACCTGCCCGCACCTGCCCGCACCCCGCACCTGCCCGCACCTGCGCAGTACAGCAGCGCACCTGCCCGCACCTGCGCAGTACAGCAGCGCACCTGCCCGCACCTGCGCAGTACAGCAGCGCACCTGTCCGTTAACCCGTGATTATATCAAAGTTAAACATTCCAAAGACCCATTAACATTCCGCTCACTGTGTATCCGTGTATCTTTTGTTAATTTGTTTTTCAAAATAAAACCAAAATTAAGAAAACAACAAAACAACTATTTTCTTCATTATTTGTCTCCAAAACCAAAATGAACAAACTTTTTTTTTCAGTTTTCAATTTTGTGTTGAAATAAATAATGGAAAAAACAGTTAACGTTCCCCAAGCCAAAACTGCGATGTCGCACAGAACCAGGACTGAACCAGGACTAAAGCAGGACTAAAACAGGTCTAAAACCAGGACTGAATCAGGAAAAACTAAACCAGTCTCAGTCCTGGCCTGTTTCTGGTCTATTCTCGGTCTCAGTTCTGGTCTGGTCCTGGCCCGACAGGCCCAGTGGTGCACCCGTGTAGACTGAGACTGAGGCCAGGACTGAGACTGGTTTAGTCCTGGTTCAGTTCTGGTTTAGACTTGGTTTAGTCCTGGTTCAGTTCTGGTTTAGACTTGGTTTAGTCCTGGTTCAGTTCTGGTTTAGACTTGGTTTAGTCCTGGTTCAGTTCTGGTTTAGACTTGGTTTAGTCCTGGTTCAGTTCTGGTTTAGACTTGGTTTAGTCCTGGTTCAGTTCCTGGTTTAGACTTGGTTTAGTCCTTTTTTAGTCCTGCTTCAGTCCTGGGATCAGTCCGGGTTTAGTCTTGGTTCAGACCTGGTTCAGACCTGGTTTAGACCTGGTTTAATCCAGGTTTAGTCCTGGTTCAGTCTTGGTTCAGTCCAGCATCACACTTTAAGTCACGGAAACGGGAAAACATTTTTATCAGTTTTTTTTTTTTTTAATAAAATCGAAAACTGAAAAAACAAATCGTTATCTGTTTTTTGTTTTTTTTTCATTTTGGTTTTGGAAACAAACAATGAAGAAAATTGTTGTTTTTTCATTTTCTTATTTTAGGTTTTCATTTTGAAAAAGGAACGAATGAATGATACACAGATTCGGATGTGCCACCACAAAGACGGCACTGATTGGAGCTCTTAAGAGGCAAATGTCGGGGGCGGAATAAGGTCAACAGATGTCAGACTTGAAGAAACGGGCCCAAATTGTACACTTAAAATCAACTTTAAACTTCTCCAAAATAACAGTCTTTTTAAAACGACTTTCTTACCTTATACCACGTGATCTCCGGTTCGGTTCCCGGCTGGATGTACTCCTCGATCCCCGGGCAGGAGATGTTTTTGCTCTTGCTCAGCTCGGCCTTCTCGTAGGACCTCATTTTGGAGTTGTAGCAGACGTCGGTGTCGTTCTCCGCCACGTTCAGAGACATGGACACCTTCATACAGTACGTGGAGTTT